GTAGACTAGGCTGGCCTCAAACTCAGAGATCTGCCTGCCTCTGCCTCCCTGACCCTGAGTGCTGAGATTAAAGGTGAGTACCACCACATCCACCTTTTATTTCGTTTGCAAAGACAGGGTCTTACCAAGCCCAAGCTGTGCTCAGTCTCACTAAGTAGACAAAGATAGCCTTGAACTCTGATCCTCCTGCCTACACAGCTCAAGTGCTGGGATGACAGGCTCGTATCACCAAGCTGGGCCCATATCTCATTTTAAATGGTCTCTTGCCAAAATGAAAGGCACATTGCATCAGCTGACTGGAGAGGATCTCCAGCCAGTCAAGCCCCACTGCAGATAGAGAAAGACCCTAAAAATAGCCTTCTGCGTGCCAGCTCAACAGGTGATTGGCTCAGAGAGGGGAGGAGATCCTCTATGCGGGGTGAAGGAGAGAGAAAAGGACAGAACCGTGGTTCCCAGTTTCTCAGCAATGGCTCTGCCTCTTAAGGTCTTGAGTCGGGGCTTGGCCAGTGCCGCCAAAGGAGACCATGGAGGGGCCGGAGGTAAGCAGGCCTAGCCCATCTGTTCTCTTGTCTCCTCTCTTTCCCCTTCCCTCTCCTGGCGACCCTCCACCGATCCACCCACACTGATCCTTCAGGCCTTGAGGCCTGGTGATAGCTTCTCTCTCACCCTCACCTTTGCTCCCCCAGCCAATACCTGGCGCCTCCTGACCTTTGTGCTAGCTCTCCCCAGCGTGGCCCTCTGCTCCTTCAACTGCTGGATGCATGCTGGCCACCGGGAGCGCCCGGAGTTCATCCCTTACCACCACCTCCGCATCCGTACCAAGGTATGCCTGAGGCTGAGTGAGGGCAGGAGGGGGAATCCCAGGGAACAAATTGTAGTGATCTGTCTACCTTCTCTCCACAGCCCTTCTCCTGGGGGGATGGCAACCACACACTTTTCCACAATCCTCACGTCAATCCTTTGCCCACTGGCTATGAGACCCCTTAAAAGTCTTCCACTGTCTCCAAACTGATCTACTGTGTACCAGCTATGAAAGCCCCCAAAATTCCAGTGGGCAGTTCCAAGTGCAATAAAGGTGTGGAACTTTCGTGTCTCTGGCTCTTTGGGAACATCATGGCAGAGGGGGCCGGGCAGACTCCAAAAGGGCAGTTGGTATCTGGGTTCAAGCTCTTCCATACAAGGAAAATGTGAAATTTTCCCTGCATTTTCACTTTATTTAAAAAAACATTTCATCCAAGCAATACATTGTATGTTGAGCATACTCTCCTCACTGTTGTGTTTCGAGGTAATTTTTACCCAATTGAAAATGTTTGCTGACCCCATGCCTGCTTTTACTCCCAGATACATGGGAAAAATTAAAAAATCTCCCAGCTCAGAAAGTATGGCATCGAACCTGGAAAGTTGCCCAGGCTAGTCCTGAGCCTGAGAGAGCTTGTTCCCATGCCAGTCAATTCATAGGCAGAAACAAGACCAATTCCTCCTGGTGGATATATGTAGGAGAGCAGATTCCTAGGATGGAAGCATGTATGGATTCTCGCCGCTGAAACTGGCCTCACTGGCTGTAGCAGGAGCCGCAGGCTTGTCATCCAACATTTCTTTGTACCGACGTTTGAAGAAGCCAAGCTATGAAATGTGGAAAGTCAGAAAAACTGGGTAAGAGGGCAGGGAAGAAAGTTGAGAATAAGAA